ATAGAGAGAGAGAGAGAGGGAGAAAGAGAGAAAGAGGGAGGGGGAAGAGTAGAAGGACAGAGAGAGCACGGGGAGGGGGGGCATGAGAAAACAGCTGCACAATGATGACGAGGCATCCACTTTTCTTCTTAAAAAGAAAAATCCATCAGGAATTTATGACTATAACAAGGAGCTGAGTTTTTTCTTTTAATATAGGTTATCCAGAACATTATAAAATTATAGAATTATAAAATTATAATGAAAAATATAAAATTATAGAGCACTCAATAGCTGAGCTGTCCACACCCACCTTACTTTGTTTACACACCCCGGACTATGCTGGGTAGGATTAGTGAGCAGACTTCTGGGGCTCACAGAGACAGTGCAGTGAGTGATGACAGCCAGAGAAGTCAACTTTGAGCGATGGAAGGCATACAGTGTGCCGAGAGCTTATCATGGAGGCTTTCAGAATGAGTCTCGGCAGGGCAGCAGGGGAGATGTCAGAGCATCCCAGGAACCTGCTGTTTGGAGTGTGGTTGGTGAGCTGTTAGTGGTGGAATGTTTGGGCAGAAGAAATTCCCAGGGATAACGCAGAGTACAGACCCTCTGAGGAGCTAGAAAGAGCCTGTATCCTTGCTTCTTACAGGACCACTCCAAGTCTGGGAGGTGGGCTGGCCAGTCCCAAAGAAAAACTTGTCTGAATTTCAAAGCATGGATGCAAGAAAGATTGGGAGCTATGACTAAATCTGGGTCTTTATATGAATTGAGGATGGGGCCGGACACTTAAAAAATGTTTGTTTTAGTAACTTCAGGTTTTATGTCTGTTCTTGCGGACATGATCTGTCTTCTTTCAGTCATTTACCAGGGAACACTAATTAAGGACTTTGGAATTCTAGACCCTCACTCTGGGCTTGCTGGAAAGAAATTCTAAGACAGATCCCTTGGCAAAATCCTCACCTCACCTCCAGAAGTCAGGGTGAAATCCAGGATGGAGATCTAGAGAACACATCCACCATTTAGCTGGCTGCTCTATCTAAGCTCTAGTGAGTTGGCAGCTTGCATGTCTTGATCCAGAGGGCATAGCTCTTCAAAAAGGCATTTGAAATACTGGGCAGACTAGTGCTTTCCATTTAAAATTAGAGTGCTAAAATGTTAGAGCCTAGCTAGGTGTGGTGGTGCACGCCTTTTATTCCAGTGTACAGGAGGCAGAGGCAGGTGGATCTCTGTGAACTCAAGGCCATTCTGGTCTACATAGTGAGTTCTAGGTCAGCCCAGGGTTGTATAGTGAGACCTTGTCTTAGAAAGAACAAAAGTTACGACAGTATATACATATATATAGTTCCAGGCCATTCTGTGTGACCATAGCTGATAAATCTATGACTATAACAAAGAATTTAAGAATATAACAAAGAATTTATGACTGTAACAAGGAACTGAGTTTTTCTTTTCTTTTAATATGGGTGCTGTTAAAAGTCTCCTGGTTAATTTGAGTTAAGTTGTCCAGAACATTATAAAATTATAGAGCACTCAATAGTAAAGGGCATAGATTTATATAGGTAGATCATGGTTCTGGAGGCCCAGGAGCATGATGCTAGCAATTGTTTGTCTTTTTGTGAATTGTTTCATCAGTTCATGGTGGAGAAGTGGAAGGGGATATGGTCAAAGTATAAGGATACCCTTGCTTTACAACAAGCCACTCTCCCAGTAACTAATCCAATCCTCTGAGATCAAAGCTGCTCCCAGAGGACCAGTCTCAAGAGAGCTTGCCTAGTCTCTTGAAAAAGGCACTAACCCACTCATGAAGGTAATATTCCTATGAACTTCCCAGAGATCCCATCTCCTATTGTTGCCATATTGAGTAATTAAGTCTCAGTTCGAGTTTTGCCTGGTAACAAGCATGTTTAAGCCCTACCATAGCATGTCCATTCAAGAAATCTTTACTCACGGTGCACTTTTTGACCTAGGACTATCTTAGAAACTAGGGGTAACTGTGTTCAAGCAGACATCACTCTGATTTGTGGAACAATTTGAAAAACTTTCTAGCCTTAATTTCTTCATTGACCAGATAGTGCACCTGAGGCCAACGAAGAGGAAAAGGAGAATAATTCACATATGGCCACACAGTGGGAAAGTGGTGCGGGTAGGGGGACTAGAACCCAGGCTTTCCGCTGTTAGGCGAGAGCATATTCAGGCTGGTGAAGGAGATCTTTAATTGATAATACATAGAGCAAATGGAATCAGACCGAAGACGAGCCCTGACTGGGAAGGGAGAGATGCTTGCTGGTTACCTGAAGTTTTGTTAAATCTTTTGTTTGAGAAGAGCTTCAGACTCAGAATCACACTGCTGATTCAGTACAGAGAGCCCCTGTCCATTCCACACCCAACTTCCTTTATAATTAATGTCTTACATTAACACGATACACTTGTCACAGTTAATGAACCATGTTGGTACATTGCTATTAATTAACGCCCATTCTTCGCTCAGGTTTCTCTACTTAAAAACAAAATGAAACAAAACAAACAACAAACAACAACAACAGAACTCCCCACCCCCAAACCCAAACCCACCCCTCATGTACTTTTTTTTTCTGTTCCAGAACCTGATGCCACAATTCAGTCATCATATCTCATAGGCTTCTTGTAGCCCTGGAAGCTTCTCACACTTCATATTTGATGCTTTTGAGAAATACTGGTCAGATATTTTGTGTCATGGCTCTTTGTCAAGTAAACATCTTTTTAAAATGTTTCCATTCACTAGGCATATGTTAGGTGATGAGGAAAAAAACCCCAGAAGATAATATTCAAGCCATTCACGCTCTTCTGTAGTTTAACAATAAATAATAAAGGGTCATCAACGCCATGGCTGGCAAATCACAGGATGCTATGGAGGCAAACATCTTCCATTTCTACCATGGAGGAGGAGTCACAAATCAGAGCTAACATAGTGGTTGAAATATGGGTCCAGACTCAGTTCCACTGGGGCTTAAGTGTCTGCCACTCTTTCTCCTCCAAGCCACCTAGAGATCCACTCTCTTGCTTGCATAAGTCCTGGAAATGTATGGGACAAGAGAATATTTGTGTTTCACGAGCACCTCATCCCATGTCTTATATAGTGTCACTCCACTGTGTGGCACACCTCTTAATTGTGTGTCTACCTGAAGCTGCTCTTAGATGTATTGTGGATGGATTTCTCAAACCTGGTTGACATGCACTACTCAGCCAGCACCCTGTTACTACTCAGCCCACATTCCCGGAGTACTAGGAAGAAGTCTCTAGGATAGTTCTGCTCTCATTAAAACTCTTCATTATTGCCTGTCCCATTCACCCCTTGGGCAGCTGCTCTAGAGAAGGGCTGTGTTTACAGATTTTCCTACTTCCAGTGTCCGGGATGCAGTAGGCACCCAAGCAATTTGCTTAAACAAGTAAACCACTGGATGATGAAAATGTTGGAGTGAGAGGTGAGAAAAATTGTTTTTTATTTACAGCAAACAACTCAATTTCTTTTCAAAGAAGCAAGGGAAATGAGGTAAATCAGAAGCCAGGAGAGAGCAGGGGAATTGGGAAGCACTGACCTAATTAAACAGAATGGTTTTGTCTCTCACAGCCGCTCCTGGGGAACATACAGTTGGAACAAAGGACAAGTTGGGTCATGAGGTGGGGGCACTTCTGATCATTTTCTCTTAAGGTTTTCACACATATAAACATGCATACATTACATGCATACATACATACTTGCATATATATGTGTTATGTGTTGAGCATATTCCCCCTCCATCCTCCATTCTCCACTTTATTGCCCCTAACTAGTCTTCTTTGTCCCCAAGACAGTTTTACTTTTATTTTTATGTCATGTGTATATACATGATTTTATGTATCTGTATAAAATCTAGGATAATAGATTTTTTTTTTCTTGTTTAATTCCCGGAGTATGATTATCCCAGTAGCCATTTCCCAAACAACATAGCTTCCTCCCTTTGTGTGTGCATGTCCTGCTTTCTTTATCCATTCTTCTGTTGCTGGTTCCATAGTTTAGCTATTGTGTGTAGTGCTGCAATAACCTTGATGCTGAAGTGTCTCTGCTACACACAGGACAAGTAGTTTTTAGAGAAACCTCCATTCTGACTTCAATAGTGGCTGGACTAGCAGTATGTAAGGGTTCATTTTTGTCTATATCCCTGAGAGCATTTGTTATTATTTTTCTTAATGACTGTTATTCTGACTGGGTGAGATGGAATTTCAATATAGCTTTGATTTGCACTTCTTAGATGGCTAGTGAAGTTGAACATCTTTTCATATGCCTACTTCTGAACGCTACACATCATGGCTTCACAGTGACCAGTTCATTGTTAACGTTGGAGATTAGTTTTTCAGGTCTATTGGGTTGGATGAGTGAGTGCAAGGCTGGTTGGCTTCCTGGGAAAGGTATCAGTGCCAGCTGGAGCCGGTACTGAGTCATTCAGCTGCTGGGAATCCATGTATAGCCATCCACTGTTCATGGAGGGAGAACTGTTCTGATGAAGGGGGTGTTCTGACTGAATGGAAAACAACATCTTGGACTTCCTCCTCTACAAAAGCACTCAAGGAAAACCTTCCCTTCCGGTCCCTGAAAAATCTGTATCAGGGTGAAGGTCATCCAAGAAGATCTGGCAATCTTTCTTCTGACTCTGAAATATATCTATAAGTTCAAAAGGTCTTCCTATATGATGGGGGTGGACAACGTCCGATGATAACAGGGACTGAGGACTTTCCACAGCTGACTTCAGTATGGTCTCTGGTGGACTAAGGACTTTAGCAACAGGACTCAGTAACCTAGAGCCAGGAGACTGACATCCCAAGGTCCTAGGATGTAACATTTGCTCTTAGGAAGATAGACACACCAATATGGTGGCTAGCTGTTTTCTGGCTGGAGACCTGGAGGCTCTCAAGCATTGCTGAGATCCAGCTGGCAGTGAGCTCTGTAATAGGGTGCTGCTGGGCTTTCAGGGACCCTGGAAGATGGTGGTTCTTTGCTGTGATATTAACAAGCTATTTTTATGCTTGAGAAAAGCCACATAGAAATTACCAAAGGGCTAGTACAGTTTGGAAGAGGAAGTTGCTTTAGTTACGATTGTGTCAGGAGTGCTAGTGGGACAAAGGCTAACTGGCCTGAGACCACAGCAATTATGGGGCTGGAAGGGATTTCTCCAAGTCTTCCATCTCACTAGAGGAAACGATGAGGCCCTGGTCTCCAAATGAACAACTTTTTGAACAACATTGCAAAGTACTGACTGCCTGGCTGATTTGATTTTCTTGATTCTGAAGTTTACCTGACGCTTTTCATAACCTCAAGTTGCCTCTTTTCTGCGTAATAGACTGCTTTGGAGGAAATACTCCAAGGTAGGTGGTCAACATGGTTTGGGTGCTTACAGTTTGTATTGGGACAACTTAAGTTTTCTTCTTAAAAACATGACGTTTATGTGTCTCTTGTTTATTATATTAAGAGAGATTTAACATAAATCTCAGCTGAGCTCTTACTGGGTGTGCCATTTAGATCACTGATTTCTAAAGTTTTGTGTATGTAGAAGAATTACCAGAGGGTGTTATTAAAATACAGGACAGGACTCAATAGATGTGGAGAGTATTCAGAACACCTCCCCCTTTCATTTTTTTATATGGTGTATGGATCTGCATATATGTGGGTACTCACGTACTTGGAGTTCTGATGCTGATGTTAAGAATCATCCTGTATCACTCTTCAACCATGTTTATTGAGGCAGGATCTCTTAGTCAAATACAGGGCTTAATTTATAATATGACTATTCTTGCTAGCCAGCTTGCTCTGGGGACCCTTTGTTTCACCTCCAAGCCTGGAATTACAGGTGGGTTTCTGTAGTAGGAAATTTTCCTGTGTCCTGCCCGGTCCTTCAGCCACTCAAATCCAAGTAAATGCACGGAGGCTTATATTACTTACAAACTGCATGGCCTAAGGGCTCAGGCTTCTCACTAGCTAGTTCTTATAACTTAACTCAGTCCATTTCTATTAATCTATGCATTGCTATGTGGCTTCATAGCTTACTGATGCTTTTACATCTTGCTTCTCCTGGTGGTGGCTTGCAGCGTCTTCTCCACTCTCCTTTCTCCTCCTCTCTCCAGTTCAAATGTCCTGCCTAACCTTATTCTGACTCACCATTGGCCAAACAGCTTTATTTATCAACCAATAAGAACAACACATATTCACAGCATACAGAAAGACATCTTTTGGGTTCTAGCGGCTGCGGGACTGGACAGGACACAATAAACTTCCAACTACATTTTCATGTCCCACATTGGGCACCAGACAAAGTGAAAAATCCACAGAATCTGCTTAAAAGGCAAGACATTTGTTAGGGATAAAACTCACTGCAACATGGGAGATTTATTGTAGGGTCCTGGAAAGCTGAGCTATGATCCATGTATACTGTTCTTCTGCCTGGTCCATCTCAATATCCAAAAACCATGAGGGAGAGAGATACATGCATCTCAGTTCTTAAGTGTCCCAAGAGGCCACTCGACAGGGGCATATGTTTCAAGGTCATAGGCAGGTAGAGCAGTCACCTGTTACATCTTCTAGGGGGCAGTGCTTCAAGGTCATAGCCAGAGTAGGTTTCCACACTCACTCTGCATTTATTGGATCTCTGGAGATCCAGAGTTCTGATCTCATGTTTACTTGACAAACTCTTAAACTATGGAGCCATCTCCTGAGCCCTTGAACATCTTGTTTCTAAAGGAATTTTATCCACGGTAGAAGCTATTATTTCTTGGGCCATGCTCAAAAGATCAAAGAATTAGAGCACAACACTCATTATCATATGTCAAATAGAACAGTAAAAGTAGTTACCTCACAGGATTGTTGTGAAGGTTATACAAGGTAATGTTTGCAGTGGCAAGCAGTCTCCATCACATTAGAGTGGATCGATAGGTTTTAATTTTCTTCCGTTGTTCCCCCTTTGCCTCTCTTGTTACAAGGGAAAGTGACTTGATGAACTCCTCTGCACTGCAGAGGGCTTGGAAGACCTCTGCGTCTGAAAAAAGGGGCGTGTGGAAGAAAGGAATGCTCAACTTGCGGAATGTGGCGTTGACTATTAATACTTCTTGCATTTAATTTTCAAAAATTTTTGTGGTGGTAACAACAAAATAAAGCTAGAAACATTTGACAGAAGTTTGCATATAAATTAATCTGGTCAGAAGTTTGTTGGAAAAGATCAAAAATAGTATACTACATAAATAGTTTTAGATTTTAAAAATTCATAGTCTCCATAGCCTTTCAGATTTATGTCTCAGCTTCACTGATTCAGGGAGGAACAGTAGAAAAAAATGCTTGAAGTAATTCCAAACTGAAGGTCTAGAGAGACAAATTCTTTTCACAGCACTGCGTCTAATTGTCACCTAGAAAGCCATGGGATCTGCCTCAGTTCCCCACATATCACATGAGGACAAACAAGATCAGAGAGCTACCACTTCCTATTAACTCATGAACAAAGCAGGTCCCTTTCACCAGAGCTTTGGAGGTCCCAGTCTGTGACTGATTGGCCTAACTTCTCCAGGCCTCTGGAGAGGCAAGACATGGTGGTGAGAACATACGACAGAAAAAAGCCACTTGAATCATGGCCAGGAATTAAGGTCCCCTAGTCCCCTTCAAGGACACCCCTCCAGTGACTTAAATCCTCCCTTCTTAAGTATTACACTACCTCCAAACTGTGTCACCTCCATGATCAAGGTTTTAACGCATCAACAGTGGGGAGACATTCAAGTTCCCAACCTACAGCAGCTTGCTTGATGATAGCTCTAGACATGAGCATCCTCCAAAGAGCAGCACTCTGGGCAACTGAAATGGCAAACGTAATTCTGAATGACCACCCTTAACTGATATTCTGTGATACATAGACTCTTGAATGGACTCTACGGCATTAGAGTTGATGGTGCCTCTTGAATGATGACTAGGTTTTTGGCAAGTTGAATATGGACCTGGGTGATATGAGGCATCCAGACTGATGAGATAGTTTGAAGAAAGGCAAGATAGTGGGAAAGGAGACAGGGAATGTAAGAAATATGATAACTCGTGCTCAAGGTATACATGTAAGAATATTAGGTTGTAGACAGTCACAATGGTTCACTCATTAGTCTACAAATTTATACTGAGATATGATTTTATGCCACTCAGTTAGTTATTGAGATTATAATGGAGAATAAGATAGACCTGCCCTTATAGGAAATCTAGCATTTTCATAGGAACGGATAATAAGCACATTAATAAATGAAGGTATTAGACATCCTGTTTTGAAGATGCCATGAGAGAAATAATATTCAAGGTGGAAAATGACATTAAGGCAGTCTGGAAGTGTATCTTGGAATGTGACCTCTCATGAGACCCTTAAAGATTAGAGTGGGTCTGCTATTTGACGTGCTGGCTGAGAGAGTTCTAGACCCAGGGATCAGCAATGCAGACATTGAAGTGGAAAAGATATTTAGTAGGTTCTAAGGTTAGGGCAACTGGAAAGCTAATGGACAGGAAGCCTTGGGGAGGGTGACATGAAACAAAGTTCGAGAGACAGGTAAGAGAGAGGATCACCTGGACAAAGGCCATGGCAGGAGGATAAATTTATTTTAAGGGCACTGAGGAGCTATCTTACAGGCTTTTAAAAGAGATCGAAGAGAAGGGAAGCAGGAGGAAAGCAGAAGCACCAGATGGATGCTACTTTAGAGGCCAGGAGGAGCTTGAAGGTGGGTCATGTAATGGGGTATCCATAGAGACCGAGAAGAGAGGCAGATTTGAGTCGTATTTTTTTAATGCAGAACATGTAGTACTTCTGACGGTCGGGATTTGGGCACACATGAGAGTTATTCAAGGTTTCAGGCTTGAGTAACTTGGGAGGAGGCAGTGTCCAGTACTGAGACAAGTGGTGTGGAGGAAAACTAGGAGAGGCAGGGTGAGAGTGAGATGTGAGAGGTTAGGGAGAGGGAGGGGAGAGTGAGGTGTGAGAGGTTAGGGAGAGGGAAGAGGAGAGGGAGAGAGAGAGGGAGAGAGAGGGAGAGACAGAGGGAGGGAGGAGAGAGAGGGGAGAGAGAGAGAGAGAGAGAGAGAGAGAGAGAGAGAGAGAGAGAGAGCATTCTGAGGGGTCATGAAGGGTGGTCTGATTGGTAATAAAAATCTGAGCATTGTGGAGATGGGGCAGTGAAAAGAGCTACTGATGGGTCATTTGAAAGGACACCAGAAAGCTGTTCTCCGGACTGGTGGCTCAGATGACCTTGGTAATCTGGATCAGGGTAGTTACATGGATTATGTTGTTAGAAGACAAATAGAACACTGCTGGAGGATAGAGAGGAGCATGGGAGAAAGCTTGTGGAAACTTCAAAAATTTGGGGGAAGGATAAATAGAGAAATTAGTAGTAGCTAGAAAAGTATGTGTGATTAAAAAGGAAAACTTAAAAAACCCGACAACAACAACAACCACCACCACCACAACAACACCTAGACATACAAGGGCAGGCTCTGTGCTAGAAGTGACCTGGGAAAGACTTACACTACAAACCAGGATACTATTAACAGGATTATTGAGGGTGATAATTTCATAGAAAAGAGATAATTGGAGGACAACATAAGCCAAAGCACATTCCCACCAATAGCCACGGTTTACAAGGCCTCTGTGAGGATGTAGACGCAGTTGGTTGCTGGTCAAAAGAATGGCTGTGGAGGGGGCTGAGGGCTGGGAAGAAGAGGTCATCAGGAGTTGGGGGAACAAAGAAAGGTTATGAGGTGAATGTGATGAAAATATATTACATACACATAGGAGAGTGTTCTAATGAAACCCATTATTGGGTATAATTAATGTGTATAAAAAAACTAAAAAAGATCAATACAAAAAAAGGAGAAAATAGATCCATAAATTTTGGTGGTGGGACAGTGAAGGATTTCTGTATTTGTGACTTCTAATTCTTAAATGAGCTGTATATGAGATCAGCTCTGAGCATGGGGTAGTGAGAGGCTTATAGAAAGCTTTGTGGGAACATTTTTTATTTCGGGCAATGAAAAAAAAAAACAAAATTCCCAAGTGCTGATTCTCCACATGAGATTTGTGTCCACGAGTTGAAAATGAAATCACTTAGCCAGGTTGTGTGATTTTCTCTGGCAGCCTTTAACTGCTGTGTGATAGGCCCAGAGATGGTGCTGAGCAAATGTTGGAGTTTTTCAAGGTGATTGTGGCAGAGGAGAGAGATTAGAGGGTGTTGAGGCAGCTTGCAAGAGTAATTAAAAGTAGGACAATTTGTGTAAGGAAGGAAGCGGAAGACAGAAGGTGGACATGTGATAGCATCAGTGGGTGGTCAAGATAAGGGAAAGAAATGTGGGAAGGGGAAGGACC